TTAACGAGCTCTCAATTACACAAGTACATAAATACATATCTACAAGTCCACACATTTGCGTGTACCTACATACCCCTGCATAAGGACATAAAAGCGATAAATAAATACAAGTTCGAGTGTTAATAAATTAAAAAATAAATACGACCGGTAATTATAAAAAACTAAATCCGCATATTTAAGAAACTTAATTCGAATTAAAACTCTTATAAAAAGAGTTTGCGGTTATACACATATACGGAAGTTAAAATTAATTTTGTCGGCAAAAAATCTATTTACTTAAAAGAGTTTCGTTATATACGAGCATATAGCTTGAATTCCATCGGTCGACACTGAGGAATTTTAAATTAATTTCAATATTTTCTAAATGAGCTCAGATTCAAAAGACTCAAAAACAACACAGTCTCTAAAAGTACCTAAATGATTCCGAAGAAAAGAGTCCATGTAACCCTGCAGAAACTTACGCCAAGTACGAAAACTGCTTAGACCAGTTTGAAGAAACAAAAGCAATAATTTCGGATCAATTAAAATTATTTAAAGCAATTGCACCTACTCCACAACCGAGAGTAGAGCTGCCACAAATTCAATGTCAAGAGTACAATTCAGGCATTCATCTCAAGGTCAAACAGGTGTCATAGTCAAACAATTCGCACTAAGTGACGATAATTTCAATCTGGTTTGGGAAGCTCTAAAATAAAGATACGAAAATGAAAGAATATTGGTCGATAAGCAAGTAACGATACTAATGAACTTGCCTAAAATTCAGAAAGAAACGAAGAATTTATTATACTACAATCCAATGTTTCTAATTGTTTGTCGGTTTGATCGACAAAAAATATTCCCACAGACAGCTGGGACCCTATTCTGGTAAATAACTGGCAGCATTACCAGCAAAATCGTTAATTTTGTGGGAGCAATCGCTCTCATCTCGGAAAAAATGCCCAACGTGGCAGCAAATGAAAGAATTTCTAACTACCAAATATGAAATAGCAGAAAGGGTAGACAAAAAACTAGTTAGAACTAAAAACGCTCAAAACGATCTCATTAGAAGCTTCAATTGACCCCAAACCAGTAGTAACAACAATTTAAATAGAAGCTTTTTTAAAAATCAATTGTTCACATCCGAACAATATAAACAAGCGTCATGCGAACTGTGTAGAGGAGGGCATAAGCTCAAATCTTGCGAGAAATTCAAAAAATTAAGTATTGTCGATAGGAACAATTTTGTGAGAACAAAAAAACTTTGCACAAACTGCTTACTTGTCACGTTCGCATACTCTAAAAGAGTGTGAAAGCAAATTCAATTGCGTATATTGCCACAAAAAACATCATTCAATGTTACATAATACCAATTTTCTCCAGCTCACCTCAAATTAATGTTAAAAGGGCTACGGGATTAATTGCAACAGCAAACCCCGAATTACAAAATCCTGAAAATCACCAAGAAGCACCATGCTGCTGAAAGGCATTAAAAATGCAAACGCTACACAGCGAAAACCAAAGTAGGGTACTACTATCCACAACAATCGTATCCATCGAACACCGAGGAAAACTGTTTAGGCTTAGGGCCTTAATCCGAGGACCACAACGATCATTTACAGCGTCTAGGGCACAAAATAGCCCACAACTGCCAACAAAACTAGCCAATTTTGCAATCACGGGAATGGGCGGAAGAGTAGTCCAAAACTTAAACCAAATCCGCCCCATAACCCTTACTTCCTCCAAAGTGGATAAGCGCATTAAAGCAGAAGCTATTGTCTTACCGAGACTAACAAATATGCTTCCAAGCTATCACATAAAAAGCAAGCATTCGCAAAAGGTTGCACACCTAAAGCTAGCAGATCGCAACTGCAAGACTCCCGCTCAAATAGATCTTCTATTAGGCAGCGATCTCATACCACAGATAATACTCGAAGGTATTGAGAAAATTTCAACCACACTTTTGGCACAAAATACTATTTTTGGTTGGATCCTAAGTGGACTAGTTACAGAACCAAGTTGAGGAAATCTCAAACGAATACCTCAGTACACAATTGAGAAAATTTTGGGAGTTAGAAGAACTCCTACATTTCAATTAAAACCAAAGAAGATCAGTATTGTGAAGACTTTTACAAAGCCACAACTACTAGATTGGTACGTCGTACGACTACCACTAAAACAACAATTTCCTAACACTCTCGCCTTAGGTCACTCTCGCACCTCTGCAATAATACAGCAGTTTTTAAGTATGGAAAAAAACTTACTTAAAAAAGGTGAGCTTAAATCAGAATACGATGGCGTGTTAGAGGAATTCTCCCAATTAGACCACATGGAGGAAGTATGCGCAGACGAAAAAATCATAAATGGCAAATATTACTCATTTTACTTGCCTCATCACGCAGTAGTAAAGCCAGACACACAAACAACAAAAGTAAGAGTTGTCTTTAACGCTTCAAAATCCACTAGCTCTGAGAATTCACTACATGATATTATATTTACGGAACCCACACTCCAACCAGATTTAATGCTTGTCATATTAAATTGGCGTACATTCAAATACGTATCCAATGGGGCCGTTGAAAAAATGTATACATAAATAGTCGTACGTAAAGACGATAAAAATTTTCAGCGAATTGATTTTCGAAAATCTCCCAATAGTCCACTACGCGACTATAAATTAAAAACAGTTACCTTTGGCGTCATTTGTGCTCCATATTTAGCTATTCGAACACATTTCCTCTGGCAACCGAAATGTTAAAAACTCAAACGTATGTAGACGATATCCTGTCTGGAAGTCACAGTCGTTCGCAAGCATACGAGTCCTTATCACAGGTTATATCAGACCTCAAAACCACAGGGTTCCCTTTAAAAAAATTTACTGCAAACCACCGAAAAAAAGTAAAAAATATACCAAAAGAAAATTTGTTAGACACTTACTTCCTTATATTCGAAAAGGAAAGTACAACAAAAACTCTGGGGATCCAATGGAATGCGATATCTGACCAGTTTCCATATCTCTGTAGTCAATATCAACATTATCCGCTATAACAAAACGCCAAATTTTATCATCTGTAGCAAAACTTTTCGACCCGTAGGATGGCTTTCGCCAATTATGATACGAGCCAAAATCCTAATACAAGAATTATGGCTAGATGGAACCGATGTAAACTATGCCCCAGAGCACAAAGTCGAACTACACGGCTTCTGTGACGCTTCTGAAAAAGCATTTTGCGCCACTATATACGCTCGCACACAAAGCGACATTGTGACCACAAGCCACCTACTAAGCAAAAGTAACAAAAGCAAAAGTAGCTCCTTTAAAAACAATAAGTCTACCACGACTTGAACTGTGTGGAGCGCTACTACTAGCCAAACTAGTATCCATGGTACGAGTGCGTTTAAACATGGCAAACTACAAACTATATATGTGGTCCGATTCGGAAATTGTACTAGCATGGCTAGAAAAACCAATATATGCATGGAAGACGTATATTTCCAATCGAACGTCTCAAATACTTAACCTAGTTGGATCAGCCACTTGGCGACACGTAGCCATTGCTGACAATCCAGCTGATCTAGGTACAAGAGGGTGCAAACCCCTGCACATTGCCACCACCAACCTGTGGTGGAAAGGCTCCCGATAGTTAACAGAATCTCCCCACTCTTGGCCACAATCGCCCATGAGCAATATGATTGCCCCAAAGAGTCGAAAAATCGACACTTTTCATACAACACTGGATGATACCGATATCCTTGAACGATTTTCATCGTTCCCCCGAGCCTTAAGAGTGGTTGCTTACATGTTCAAATTTATAGAGCAACTCAAAGCCAAAGTCAAGGGCTTAGCAAACTCCCAATGCGATACAGTGACGCACCTAACCTTACAAAAAGAAAAAGGTCGCTCTTATCGCATATACTTAAGCGCGCTACTACAACCGCGATATATCCCTATTAAGAGAATCAAAACTTAGTGATAAAAGGAGGGCCCTCTTAGTTCTAAACACCTAACTAGAAACGAAAGGCCTTCTTTGTGTGAATGGTCGGCTTGTCAATTCAAGCCTAACATATAACGAACACCATCCCATAATTGTACCGGAGAAGTATCGTTTTGCCATATTACTCATCAATTATATCCACATAGTAATGCTTCATGCCGGACATCGCCGCATGCAACATATGGTCCGCCAGGAATTTTATATTCTCCGACTTAAGCCCCAAATAAAGAAGATCATCTTCCTGTGCATAATCTGCACAATGCAAAAGCAGAAGATGCAAACACAGACTATGTCAGCACTTCCACCGGAACGCTGCAACTTCGCTCTGCCTTTCTCAATCACAGGTGCCGATTTTGCTGGCCTTTTCAGATAAAGGCCTCCATGTTAAGGATGAAAGGCTATGTAGGTGTCTTTTTTTGTTTTACGACAAAGGCAGTGCACCTTGAGCTTTGTACTAATCTGACGAAGGAGGCTTTTCTTGCGGCATTTGCTCGCTTCGGCGGTCGACGCGGCTTTCCATCGAAGATAATGAGCGACAATGGTAAAACATTTATCGGTACTCAAAGAGCCACCGAAAAACAATTTGTGGACTTTATCAAACAAGTCTCACCTGAGATTGTACAAAAGTACGCGCCCCAAGGCATTAATTGACAATTCATCCCCCCAAGCGCTCCTCATATGGGTGGTTTATGGGAATCAGCTGTAAAAAGCTTCAAATCCCACTTCAAAAAAGTAGCTGGAAATTACAAGTTCAATTACGAAGAATTCACGACATTATTAATTCGAATTGAAGCCGTTCTCAATTCACGGCCTCTTACAATCCTCTCGCAAGATCCCTCCGATTTCACAGTTTTAACTACAGGGCACTTTCTCAAAGGAACGCCCATTAAAATTCTCCATCACGATTTCAGCCGCCAATGGAAAGAAGAATACAGTAAACAGAAACGAAAATTATACAAAAAAAGCAATTATAAAGTTTCAAAGGACAGCGAAATCCCTTGCAAAATTTACAATAAATAAATACAAGTGTGATAAATTAAAACCAAAAAGGTTTGCGGTGCAATTTTGCAATTTGATTTTTTCATTATTAAAATTGGCGAAATTTTCGACGCATGATATGCAGCGGACACTGTGAACTACAGAATGAATAAAGATACGTAAGCTATCTAAAATTTTTTAGCTAAAATGGAATAAATGCCATCGTGTGAAAACATATTTCGAGAAGATGTATTCTGAGTGGCCTCAAATAAATTGTATATGTACCAAAAAGTGTGAGGCAATACGTGAAGAACAATGCGTGAGTTAATAATTAAAAAAAAGTAAGTAAGTAATAATAACAATGCTTTGTAATTGTAGGAAGCAAGCACAAGTAAAGGTAGAAAGAAATTGAAATACACGGAAAGTAGTGATCGTACTAACTAGTCACAAATACATCAGCTGAACAAATGGAATGCGCTGCCGACATTATAAATAATCAGTCAAATGAAACCAATAAGCATTTGTCAAATGACCAGGCACTGGCATTATTTTATGATCTTGGTCTATCAGTTAGGATATATAATAAGCTGCGATCTGTTGTTAATAGCATTCACGAGGACTTTTTCCTAACTACTATGAATTAGTGAAATTAAAAGACGCGTTATTACCTTGCCCAGTTATTGTTACAGAAACGTTAGCAGAAGTGCCTTTGCGCTTTCTCTTTAAATATTATATTAAAAATTTTGAAGTAGATGTATCGTATAAAATGCATTTAACAATGATCGATGGTGCTGTTGCAAACGTTTCAGCGCAAATAGAACTTGCAACAGTTGCAGTTTACAGAAATAAAACTGGGACGGAACATTGAATGACGGCAATACTGCACGTCGTTGTTTTTGTTTTTCAAATATTAAAATGTCGGCAAAAATTATTTCTGTGAATATACAATTAATAAAATATTTTAGTTTAATTTTACAAATGCTAGCTTGAGGAGAAAAAATAAATATACAATTGTTTAGGGAACTTTTGAAAGAGAGTTATGAAAATTACACTGTACATTTCTCATGGTTTTATATGCCAAAAATGTCCACAAAATACTCGTTCATGGATGTGATATTACAAACGAGTTCAATATTCCAATTGGGTTACTTTCTGAAGACACACTACAAACCAGGCATAAAGAATTTCAAAAATTGCGCTTACAAAATATGCGTAAGAACTCTAGAGAAGCTTGCAATCCTGCAAAAGAGTGTTGTGTTTATCTATTTTTGGTCCTTAACTTTTTTATGGACTCCAGTGTCGGGTTGGGTAATCGGAGTGGGATCCGTCAGGTTCCCCATTGCTTCCAAAGATTTATACCTGTGGATTAGAAACGCGTCAAAGGTCTTCCACGACGGTATTTCGGAATTGTCTTCTAGAGTATCCTCGAAGTGATGTAGAAGGGTTTTGGGTAATTTCAATCCACATAAGAATATTATGAAAGAATCTCCACTACTAGTGTCTACATTTATGTTTTGTAGATTGGTAAGAAAATTGTTGACCGTTTTCTAAAAATATTCAATAACGCTTCCATTTTCTTGGGTTGCCTGGGGTACATTGCATACAATTTTTAACTGAACGTTTACTTGAACCCCTGGTAAGTTTACTTTCCCATTGTGATACGAGGTCCTCCTGGAATAATATATGTACATTGCTTATTCTATGGTTGTTTATATATATGGTCGTAAACATATCTCCGAGGGAGAGTTCTATCCAAGTTACGAAATCGCCATAAAAGTCATCCGTAGCACAAGGGGGTAGATGTACTAAGGATCCTGTCTCCAGCGAGGAGTTTGTCTCTTAAGCTCGTTCTTTTATAATTGGTATTGGAGTCTTGAGACTATCGGTATTTTGATTAATTGATCCCAAATATAATATATCTTTTTTGAATTTTTCCTGGACCTTCAATAATTTTACCTGGTTTTTGTGGGACTCTACGAAAGGTGTACTACGCTTTAGTTGCCTTGTCATACATTAAAATGAATGTCGAATTCTTTTTATTCCAAGAGTATAAATTGATTCATCTTCGGGAAGGGTTTCATAATGTACTTCGATGTATTTGAACAAATCCAACACACAGCACTTTTGAAATCTTCCATTTAAAATTTTTTTTGGTTCATTCCAAGTCAAATCGGCAAACAGTTGGACGCGAGCAGCACCGAATCGAATAAATTTTGGTGGAAAGTTTTGTCCTATCATAAAACAAAGTTCTGCCAAAGGAAGAAATTTTGAAAAAATTTGCATAAGAGCTAAATTGAAAATTTCACTGTTTTCCCGATTTTATGAGTTTATTTATTTAATATTTCAGAAACTACTGTATATTTAACAAAGAACGCTGGAACGCTGGTAAGTTTTCAGAGGACACATAGAGGTATAAGAAAAAAATTGTTTTGAAAATTACCAAAAAAAAAATTTTGAATTTTAGAAAATCGTAAAAAGTAACCATCGCTGGAAATTTTAGGCCTCAAAATTTTTAATATTATAACTCTAACATATCTAAAGATATTCTGAAATTTTCAGAGGGGTGTTCGTTGTCATTTCAAAGATATAAATATTTGAATTTTGGCAAAATAGTTTTTTTCTATTTTTGCAACTTTTAATAATCTCAAATATTTTTCTTATGTTAATGGGATGGAAATAATGATAATAAATAAACAAAAAACAAACAGTAACATAAGAAAACTATTTTAGACCTCCAATTTCAATAAGCATGTGATAGAATAATGATATTCAAACAATATAAAAATATATTACAAGTATATGCCTTGGGTAGACGGCTTAACTGATATTTTTTGATAAATATTCCTTTTATCGGGCACTGCTTCTGCTCAAAGGACCAAAATGTCAGGGAATGGACGGGGAATTAGCCGGTGTACCAAATAAAATATCAAATTTTTTTACGTTATAAAAATTCACTTTCAGAATATTAAAATTTGTTAGGGTATACATGTGAATAATCTTTTCACTTTTGCACTCACCTTTTACCACTTAAAAAACAAGAGCACACAACGGAGTCCTTTAAATTCGTTTATTAAAAAAAGTGAAAGTACAAAATTCAAAATCTTATCTTGAAAACACCGGCGGTATCTGCACTCGGGCGAAAAGACGTGTGTTGCTGCGGGCGACGTACGTGTGTTGCTATGGACAGATGTCTCGAATAATGCAAAACGAAAGGGTGCTTTTCACGTCTGGTCCTTGGGCAGTTTGTATTGAGTGTTGGGTTGTATAGTTGTAGTGTGTATGTGTGGATGGTCTGCGTTGTGTGTGATGTTTGCAGGGGTGGTTTTATTTTTGTTAAATAAAGGAAACATCGAATGCCGAAGTGCGGAACTTTAATCCGCTAAACCTAATCTACTCCAAACTCTAGACTCTCTCGCGGAACCACCTAATTAAGTATTACTTCGTGGGAGTGATAAGACATTTAAGTCATCTCTATGGTACGGACTGAAGGACGCCTAATCTGTTCTATATGTCTCAGTTTTGTCATGGTTGAGGCCGCCGCTTCGCTGACAGCTTTCCAGTTCTCAGTGGACTGACACATGAGTGTCGTCAAATTTTCCACCAAGAAACTACCACCGAGTATAGTTTTTCCCTTATAATTACAAAGCGAGGACAGTAAAATAATACATGTTCAGAGTCTTCTATGCCGTTCGGACTAGTGTCGCGAATGAATCTATACAGGTAGATTTTAAAGCACCCATGTTCACTTAGTATTTGAGTAAGGTGGAAATCCAGGTCCCCATGACTGCGTTCTGCTAAGTTCATGGGGGTCACGGGGTCCTCGGCGAACGCTAAGGGCCCGGTGGGGAAGCGCGTGACTGCAGCTAAAAAGCTGAAGTCTGATCGTCGATTGGCTGCCAAGATTTTGGAGCGCTCAGAAATCTGACCAGCATGCTAGCACACTTGAGTGGGCCAAAAGGGTATTGAGCGACGTGGGCGACGGGAAAGTGGGGCCGAGCGAGCCCCACACCTCGATAAAGCGGCAGAGATAGCAGGAGGGTGAATCCTCCCTCGGCAAAAAACCTCGGGTCGGACCCGCACCGATGTTTAGCGAAATCGCTAAACTCGCAAGCTCAGTATAGCCTGGTGTGTACGACCGAAGCAGGGGAGATGGAGCCATCTCCCATGACGAGTTGAAGCGGGTATTCTCTCTCTATTCAACTGATTAACAGGTAAAGAGAATATTGAATGAAGGGTCATTCCACCTATTCCGAATGCTGCTTTACCCGTAGGTGCGCAAAGAATAACCTTTAAAGAAGTTGGATTGGATCCAGGTGTAGAATTGTAGCGATGGTTAAGAGATGGTATATTGCATATATCAAACGACTCTTTCGCTGTTTTCATGAAGGTGGTCAAGGGAAGCCCTGCGGGTGGAACCTCGGCATTCACAAACTTATTAGGTGTGCCGACGAACGGTCGGCTCTCCTTTATAAGGAGGCAGTAGGCAGGATAGGGGAGGTGTGGAAAGGAGCAAGGCTCGAGGCGGTGGCCAAATCGGATCTGCCGATGCGGCTTTGGGCTCGGGTCTGGCTTCCGGCCGAACCTTCTACCCCGGCCGAAATTGCAGAGATGTTGCGGTACTGCAATCCATCTCTTCAAGATCCTCCAAATTAACCTCCAGCACTCAAAGGCGGCCTCCGCCGATCTATTGCTTCATCTAGGAAGGGATGAAGCCGACGTTGTCCTTATCCAGGAACCGTGGCTGAGCAGCCATGAAATATCTGGACTAAGGACAAAAAGCTATAAGCTCCTGGCGGCAAGCAGCACAGGTAGAACCAGAGCCTGCCTATTGGTCAGAAATGAACTTAACGTTTTTCTTTTACCCAATTTCAGCAACGAGGACGTCGTCACTGCTAGGCTGGAGGACAGTGCTAGAGAAATCTGGCTTGTCTCAGCCTATATGCCGCACGACGACGAGATGGAACCACCTCCGGACCTGCTGAGGATGACTCTGGCAGAGGCCAGGCGCAAAGGAGCCGCAGTTCTAATAGGCTCGGATGCCAGTTCAAGGCACACTGAGGGAGCTCGGACACAAACGCTAGAGGTGAGTCACTTTTTGATTTTATTTGTGATGTAGACCTTTTTTATCTGCAATAAAGGAAACTGCCCTACTTTTGTGACAGCTAGCAGGGCGGAAGTCCTTAACGTCGCGCTAACCTCTAGGGAAATTGCTCCCTTGATCTCGAAATGGAGAGTTCTGTACGACCATTCCTTTTCTGATCATAAATATATTGGGTTCAGCTTGGACGCCTCGCGCCCGACGCATAGAACCTACAGAAACTTCAGGAATACCAATTGGGTCCTGTATTGCAGGAAGCTTCGATCAGCTCTTCCAACCGCGTCTGACAGGGATTCGATCCTATCGGCGGACGCGATTGAGGAGCTCGTCGAGGTTTTCAGCTCTGTTGATAGAACTACTGTTGAAAGCTCCTGTCCTCTGAAAACGCAGAAAAGTAAAGGGAAACCCCCGTGGTGGACTTCGGAGCTAACGGAGATTAGATCTTTGAGTAGAAGACTCTTCAATAAAGCCCGTAAAAGTGGCTCTAGTGACGACTAGGCGTTGTACAAGGCCGGACTGGCCATTTACAAGTCCGAGTTGAAGAAAGCCAAGAGGGCTTCGTGGAGAGCCTTCTGCGGCAGCGTAGAGGGTTGTCACGAGTCCTCAAGGTTTAGACGCATTCTTGAAAAAAATCCTACTCCAGTGGGGTATCTAAGAAATGCAGATAGCGGGTGGACTACGAGTAGCGAGGAGTCGCTGAAGCTACTACTAGATACTCATTTTCCGCTGAATCGCTCTACTGAAGAAGTGCCACTGGGGGAGCTTCAGGAAGGCTGTACAGCCACAGAGCAAACTGTCACTGGACACTGTCCAATGGGAACTCATGCGGTGCGGCTTAGAATACTACCCGATGGTAGTTGTCAAAGCTGTATGGAGGAGGGTGAAGTGGAAACACTTCCCGGCACTTTCTCCTCCACTGTCCGGCTTTTGCTAGGTTGAGATTGAAACATCTCGGCAATCACACTTTTGGCGGACTAGAAGATTTGGCCAAAACAGGTATTGGCCGTCTCAACAAGTTTGTCATAGGCACAAAGCGCTTTGTCGACATGTAAGGGTCTATTGATCCGGCTCATAGAAGTATCGGGTACCACAACGGACCGGCGTTTAAGCTATCCAAGTGT